GTTGCTTCGATCTTTATAGCAACTTGGCTGTCGATGGTCCAAGCTTCACAGCCATACATCAGGATTGGTTCGATGTAACACTGGAGAAGTTGTTTGCGGATGTTGAGCGAGATGTTAAGGTTCCTCATTACATTGCTCATGCTCTGGAATGCCGCTTTTGCTTGGCCTATGTGACAACTAACCTCGGTTAGGCAACGCCCATCAGATGTAATTAATGCGCCAAGGTACTTGAATTTTTCTTCCTGTTTAAGGATGGTCCTGTTCGCAGTTATGTTGCATGATGGTATTTGCCCCTTCTTGATGACGATTTTGGTTTTGGTGTTATTAATGGAGAGACCTTTCCTTTCGCTTTCAGCGATGACTGTATTTAGCAGAGACTGTAGATCTCTACCAGCAGGACTGTATCATCAGCGTACCGTAAGTTGTTGATGATGTTACCACCTATCTTAATTCCATTTAAGCATTCCAAACTGCGCATTATAATTTCACTATATATTGAAAACAGGTCTGGTGATAAGACACATCCCTGGCGTACCCCTCGTCTTTAGTATAATCTATAAAGCACATGCAGATGTTTTTCTGTACTTCCAGTGACCTTTCAATGATGCTTCTCAGAATATATACAGCATTGGCCGTGCCCTTTCCTTCCACAAAACCGCATTGTTCTTCAGTAATCTCCGGCTTAATTTTATTCCTCACTCTATTGGTGATAATCTTCAGGAGTGTTTTTGTCACTTGACTCATCAGGCTTATGGTCCGATGGTTTTCACATTCTGTTGCTCCTGGCTTCTTGGGTAGAGCGATGAAGACAGACTTTAAAAGGTCTAGTGGCATCATACCTGTGTCGTAGATCTTGTTCAACAGAGATGTCAGTAAGTTGATGCCATATTCATCTAGGGCTAGTATCATTTCTAGAGTGATGTTATCAGGTCCTGGAGCTTTACCTTTTTTCATTTTTCTTACAGCATTCCTTACTTCATCTTCCATGATGGGTGGACCACTCATTTTTAAGTCGATAGTACGTTCCGTGTTCCTCTCATCATCAAAGAGTTCAATCAAGTATTCTGACCACCTCTCCAGGATCTTGTCACGTTCCATGATGATGTCCCCCGTCTTTGATTTAAGACAACCTGGTGATGATTGAGTCTTCTTATTGGTAATTTCACGGATCTTTTTATGCATGGCTCTTGAATCAGAGTTATGATGTTTCTCAACCTCTTTGCATTTTTCAGTAAGCCAAGCTTCTTTTGCTTCATTGCATTTGATGGTAATCTGCTTGTTTAGATGTTGATAAGCTTCTTTGTTGTTCTTAGAAGCCCTCCTTCTCTCCATAAGAAGCAATAAGAAGCAATATTTCATCTGTCATGTATATATATATGTATATATATTTGGAGGGGGTGCAATTACAAAATAAGTAGGTTTCTGCTATTTGTTGAACAAATTTTCCACCTCAAGAACAATCTGTCTCCAGGGAGTTGAAAACTCAAATTCCTAATTGCAAGTATTTAGATATGTCGTATACAGTAACAATTGTTTGCAAGAGGAAAATGTTTTAATAGATAAAAACAAACTGTTTTATTGACATAAGTTTCACAGTGATGCAATAGGTATTACACACACACACAAATATATAATGTACATATATTGAAATAAATATGCTGTATGAAGTAAATATATCATGAAATATGAAATACATTTTCTACTTCAAATTATTACTAGAACAATCATTTTCATTATCTGTAATATCTTTAGACTAGATTTTAAATATACTTTCCAATAATATCAAAACAGCTTTATGTAAACTCTTACATGCTGTTTTAATTTATTGGAAAGTACCTTTTTTACCACTTTTATAAAATGGGCAAGATATTCTCTTTCTATGATTTATACTGTAAAGCAGTGGTTCCAACCGATATGTTGCAGTTCTCAATGGGATCGCGGTCTTTTAGGGAAAATATTATAGGCCAATTTGCTAAGTCATTGTTCACATCATGAACATATTACAAAGCTGTCTTCAAGGAATACTGTTTTACAATCAGGTAAATTAAGACTGTTGATGATTTTTGTTGGAGAAAGAAGTCACGAGCGCCGCTGGTCTAGAACCTAATACACAATATTAATTCAAGATGTCCCTCATCTATCAGAAGTGTTATTACTCTCTTAATATGTTATGCGTTATGCTGCTATAACATATCTTTGGTTAATTCCTCTTTGTCTGATTGTGAACATTCTCCATTAGAAAGTGTCTCTCCCGTCTGATCCATCCTCTTGAGAAACATTGGAAGCATTTCTTGGTCAAAGTGATGCATGTAAGACAAGAATATTGTCCATACGAAGGATGCAAAAGAAACCACTACTACACGGTTCTTTTCTGGAACATAGGCAAAATTGACGGTTTGGACAACTGGCCAAAAGCACACCGCAACCTGAAATAACACAATGAAACAATCATTTTAAATACACCTTTTCATCAAGACCTGAATGAAGGTAGTACCAATAT